GGGTGTGATCCATCACAAGACCCTTTCCAGTTTCATCCACTTGTATAATTTCAAGAGCTAAAATATTAGCAATGCTTACATAATGCAAGCGTGCAAGCCCAGGTTTGTCTTTCAACCCTCAGGAGCTTTGGTGATGACCAGCACGAAGGACCATCACACCAGCTGCAGTGCACTCCTAACTCAGAGATTACACAAAAGTATGTACCAATACATCCACGTTCTGGGGTATACCAAGGGATTACTATTCTGGGCTAGCCAGGCCACTCGCAGGGCAGCCTGTGAGCAATAAAGTGCAGTGTGCATACCAGCCTGGCTACATGGCCCTGCTGTCTTTGAACTGGGAAGGTATTTCCACACGTGTTCAGGAGCACTCTTGTGTTTGCAGAAAAGTGAGAGCCAATTTGGAAGGTTTTACTCACTCCAAGAAGAGGACACAGCTCGTGGGGGTTGTGGTGTGCTGAGGGGAGTGGCAGAGGGTGCTAATCCAGGAATTTCCTTGAGAAGACACAGCACGGATCCCACCACCTCCTGTTCTGTCTCCCGTGATGTCACCAGCTGGCTGCTATGAAGCCTCCACATGCTGTGTCCCTGGGGGCTGCTATGGTCGTACTTACCAGCACGCCTACACTGACTGTTGTGACTGCATCTTCTCCAAGCGGGGACAGCACAAGGGAAGTGTGCAGAGGACAGGCGCCTTCCCCAGTGCTAACCTTTTTATGTGGGTCTCAAAATTAAATGCGTAAAATGTTTGTGAAAATACTTTCAGCAACGTGAAATACGTGCTTTTTCCTAATGCCGTGCCACATATGCTTAATTTTCTTGCACTTAAATACGAAGACTTACAACCTGGACCTGAGAGTTTTGAACCTTGCACTTTGTAAATAGATCAATATGCCAGAAAACAGCATCCTGTTTGCTAAGTAGTGAATGTTGATCCCACAGAGGGATTTCCCTAAATCACTCTTTGAGAAATTTAATGTTTGCTTCAGTAGCAGAGCATTTACTCAAAACAGAGAGCAATCCAGTGATGGAGGCAATTCACTGGCCTCCATGGCTTGATCCCAGCTGGGGAATCATGGAGGACCAAGGAGACAGCAAGACCAGACCCAGCAAAGTCATTCCCCTACCAACAGAACTATCAACATTGCCTAACATTTATTTTCAAGCATCTCTTTTATTAATGCATTTGCAAACTTGACATTGATTTTTTTCTCTCTGAAATAAATAAATATCGCAGACCTTCCCTGTATTTAGCAATTTATATATGTATAGGAAAAAAACTATTTCCCTGAGCCATCCTCTGGAGAAATTCTTCCAGTACTGAACTTCCTGATGGGGAGACAATTTTTCAATTCTAAAAACAGCAAAAGCGTTTGCTGCTTTTTATTTTGGTAGACTGGAAGAGGAATAAACTGCAAATGAGCATTTTGGAAACCAGTTTATATAGATGTTTCATCATTTCCTTGACCTTGGTAGCTTTGGGACTGTCACCAGTAATCAGGCAGCATTTAAGACCTCTGTACACCTGCAAAGTTGTAATCCGCTGACGCACAAGCAGAGATCACGACTTTGGGAGCCAACAAATTTCTAATGAGTGATGGCATGGAACTGACTCATGGGCTCCAAGCTCGTCTCTTGGCTGGATTAACCCTTCAGACAGTCTCTTGCCATACTGCTCAGTAATTATTGCAGTTAGGCGCAATTTCTCTTCTTCACCATTTATCTACACGTATTTTTTTTAAGGCAAAGGAGGTTCAAGAAGTGCATCTATCCAAAATGTCTGAAACCTCCAATGCAAAACTCGCATCACCCAGGCACATCCAGACCATGTGTGCCACAAACCGTACTCACCGTAGTGTATTTTCCCAGCTGGCAGAGTGAGGGGAAGGTTTCCTGGTGAGCTTTTCGGATCTTCTCAGTGAGATCATCCAACTCTGCTGTCATTTCATAGTTTTCTGTGGACTCCTGCTTTGAAGGCTCCTTCTTCTTTTTGTTCCTATCATTTCTGACAGCTACAGAAAAAGCAGAGACACAGATCACATGTTGCTCTTGCTGCTCTACTTCAAAACACCACAAAACGCTTTTATTTTAAACATGAATTATTTTAACTGGAGATAAAAGTGTGATATGCACAGAGAGTACTAACACAAGCTTAATTACTCAACTGTAAGTATTAAATGTAATGAGATAATGATGAAACCAGACTTCCACAGGTGCTTGTAGTGGATGTGCTGGCACACCCTCATAGCATCTACCTTCCAGGAAAGTCTCCTGCAACTTCACGTGCACTCGTCTCAGTGTCTCAGTGACTTCGTGAGGTGGGAATTTTTCATTGTAACATTAAAGCTGTGCATGGTGAAGTCCTCTGCACTGATGCAGTTGGTGTTTTATTGGATGTGAACAAAACTGAAGCAACTGCCTCTACTTTTTACATTTCTCAGTATGGAAGGTAACAAAACCCATACTAACACGAACTCCATCAAGTTATTTAAAGAGAAAGTTAAATTTAAAAACAGTAAATGCAAGATGAAGAAACACATTAAACACAAGATCTGGAGATCAAAGGAGAAGCACAAACACTTGAAAGAGTAAAAATGGCAGTGAAGCTATCTAAAGTTGCTTGCCATCTGCTCCTGCGCTCAGATCAGCCTTCCACCTTCCCCCGGCCATCGGGGATCACTGCAAACACTGTAATTGATTTCCCACATATTTGTGTTTTGTAATAAAATATGACAGCTGCTCCATCACTATGCTGCTCTTTGTTCTTTTAATGAAAACAGCTTAATTTTACAAAACATGCCCAGGAGATAGGTCTATGTCCACGGCGGTGCCAGTACTTGTGAATTTTATCAAGAGGCTTGTTGTTAGTGAAAGCGAATGTCTTAAGCGTAACCAGATGCATATGGCTTTACAACAAAGCCAAACAAAATCAACCCCTCTCCCCAAAGACTCTGTGTCAATATTAAACACCCTGAAGTCTAAACACTGCTGGACAAATAAAAACCAATTCTAACACTCACACTTTGAGGTGCTCAAAACCTCATGGTATTTGAACCAGCAGCTTGAACTCTGCAGGTAAGGCTGGTGGGTTTGACACATGTGAGGATGGCAGGGGATTTTGGATAGCCAAAGATCTGCTGATTCTCATTTGTACTGTCCAGAAAGCGCATCCATCTGTGCTGTAGGGAGGGAGGCACAGCAAAATGGGCAATGCCCAGAGCCACCTCCATGCTTGCTCTTTTCCCCCATGGGTTCTCCATTGCCACGTCCTCTGTGGTTGCTTCCTACCCGCCTGTAAACCACAACTGATGGCAAAGAGTGGACAAATGGTGAGTGTTTCAGGAGGAAAATGAGCTTTTGATCCACTCTCACCTACAGCATCTGACCAAGAATGAACGACACGCAGTTGGATTCATTTTCCTCCTCTGGGTGTCATTTCTGAGAGAAAATTAAGAGTGACACTGGAAAATGGTGTGGTGCTGCATGATCAGAGGCATCTACAGAAATAAGGTAATACGTGTGACAGGGGTCACACAGGTAAGGGGTAAATACAGTGAATAGTGCTTCTCCTTTAAAAGGTGATCAGGCACATTCTCCATGCAATAAACAGTCCTGCTTTTCTCATTAAAGGCTTGACTTAGCAACTGAGAAAACTCTGACCCCAGTCCAGCAGATATTTTAAGGATGAACTTGACTTCAACTGTGTGAACAGACCTGCGCTGAAGTCAATTATGTGCTTTGCTGGATCAGGGCTGGGACACCAAGTACCCCACTGGATTAAAGCCTAACCTCAAACACCATCAGTTCTGATGTCTGCAGTAACAGGGACTCAAAGGCGGCCAAAAAAGGTGGACAGAAAAGGTACCTTCTCATGAAGGTTCAGTGCTATCGATGTAGTCAAGTTTAGAGGGGGGTTGGATCCCCCCCCATTTCCTTCTACAAATATTCCTCTAAAGCCAATGCCCCAGTTTGTTTGCTGGACCCCAGGGCAGAGCACAAGCATGGTCTCTTGTGTTGGAAAAACATCCAGGACTTACACAAATGTCTTGAGTGCTCCAAAGCGCCACTGCACTTCAGAAGTAAATCCTCATCGCCGCTGCACTCGGGAGATAAAAGAGCTCCTTAGAAAATTATGTAAACTCCTACGCAACCGCAAAGAGCAATAAGCCTTTATAATAAGCCCCCATTTATTTATAGCTCTACGAGCTGATTGACGAATTTGCCAAACAGGCAGCCTCAGCACCTACTTAAATCAACAGCTTTGAACTCCTGGTGAAGACAAACACGATCTTCAGGGCAGGCCTCAGAGCAGCTGCCAAGAGCCACTGGGAGACGACTCCTTCAGGAACCGCAGCACCGCTCCCGCGCTATCCGGCACAGCCCCTCTCCAGCTGCCCCTGGAGCCCCTTCCCTTGCAAAGGCCACCAGTGACATAGCTGCTGGCCAAGCCACACCACCAAATTGGCCCAGTTCTGCCTTCTCTCTTTTCGGGCGCAACTCACCAAAGGGTAGGAAGGGGAGAATTAATACATCTTGAAAACTAAGACCAGTTTTTGTTCACTGTTACCTTTTTTTTCCTGATTCTGACAGCCTTTATAATAATGATAAAACCTGAATAACATTTATCTTCTTGCTTTATATCTATTTTTAATACTTCTTAAATTTCTCTTCACTAAGGCTGCATCAGATGCAGCAATGTCTCTAAATTCCCTGTGAGATAACACAATAAAGTGCTGACATATAACACCCAGGCTCCAAAAATATAAAGAATTTCAATGATGTCAAACTATTACACAGATTCAACTACAGCTATAATTCCACACCAAGAAAAAAAGATATAAAAAGATTAAGACAGCACTATGTTTAAAAGAGTTAAATAAAAACATATAAATACACACGTTTACCCAGTAAATTCAAAAGCCATCACTGCTCTGGGAACAGGAACTGTCACCCCGCATGTAGGAAGGGTTTTGGATTACAGCTTATGCTTATATTACATAAATCACACCTTTTTGTATCTTATCTTTACACGCATATGATCACATCAATCCCTGATGCAATTCCACTGCCTTTTAATGATGATACACCAGTGATGAATCTGTGTCACTGCTAATGTCGCCATGGAAAACTCAGGTTATGAATTTCATTACTTGTGCACTAAATTCTGCCTCGATGGCTGCATTATTTAGGAGCTCCCAACAGGGGACAGTGTGGAAGCTCTCCTGCCCTGCGAGAAATACTGGAAGTGAAAAAAAAAACAACCCTAAGAAAACAAATAGGATGGGTGGTGGTGTGGGGAAAGAATGGAAAAAAAGGTGTATCTCGATATGCGAGGAAGCCACATCTCAGCGACACACGCCCATGCCTGAGCACGTCCGCTCCCATCCATCTTCCCCCAAGAGCTCCCCTGTCCCCTTGACATGCATGCCAGGACTTGCGCTTCCACTCCCAAAAACCTGCAGGCAGCTGCGCCAGGGTTAGTGAGCTGGCAAAAGCACTTTCTGTTGCCTCCGTTTTAAGGACCAGCCCCTACCCTCAAATGCTCACCCCTCCTAACCTGATGGTAGAGGGGCTGAACTCTAGTCATCTCTTGTCCCACCCAGGCTGTTCTCATCACCTCAGGTTTGACACTGCCTTTCTCACCGTCAGACACATTTTCCCTCTTCTGTTCGAAGCGATGGGCAAGACACAAAAGCTGCGGGAGGGAAAGATGCATTTTTCAGGAAAAGCAGGGCCTGCTGTAGATGCAGCTAAGTCTAGGAAAAACACCAACAGTTTCTCTCGGAGGACACCCCGCTCTCACATTTAGCAACCACGCGGCAATCCTCCTGCTTGAGCGGGACCACTTCAAGCATGTCGTAATGCTGGGAATCGTCCAATCTTAAACTCAAGCCCCTCAGGTCCACCAAACTTAAGACACAGTTTGGCCTGAGAAAGGTCTGGGATCCAGTCCAAAAGATTTCAGCAGTTTCTAGATAATCAGGTAAAATTATGGAATAGCAAGCTTTTATACTGCTGCTTGTCAAAGATGGCACAAATGTGTCCAGGGGAGAAGGACCTGCAGCTCGCAATACACTTTTTCCAATTATCTGCATAACCTTTGCTTCCCCAGATGCCCAGAAGATAGTTAGACAGCACCTTTCATATATTATAATGATTAATCGGCTATAAATTCATGACTTGAAATGCTATCATTGCAGTTTTGCCTCTCGGAGATCCCCGTGACCTTTGAAGAGCTTTGTGTACTACTTAACTGGTTTTTTTCCTGTAGCGACAACTGCTGGTGCTTCCAGTTCGTTCGCATTCCTGTAAAACCACACTTCTCCTGTCCCTAAATATTTTGGAAGTTACTCGTTAAGCTAACAAATCTCAAAAGCACCATAAAGTACACAGAGAGCAGGTCAGTAATTGCACAGCGCTGGGTGCATGGTAGGTTTTCAGAAAGACGCCTTTTGTTGGCCAATGCTGACGAGAAATCAGAGATGAGCTGAGGCAGGACCGCCACAGATCGGCCAACTTTCCCCTCCCCGCCTGCTCCCTTGCACCTCAGGAGCCATCTGTACCTTTAGCAATTTCAATCAAATACGTCAAACACTTACCCGTTGCCACCTTCAAGTTTGATCCATCTGGATAAATGTGCCCCACACACCCCACATCACCCTTCTCCCCTTCAATAAACCATATTCAGGGTAACAAATGATATTAGGAAGAAATTCTTTACTATGAGGGTGGTGAGACACTGGCACAGGTTGCCCAGGGAAGTTGCGGATCCCTCCTCCCTGGAGATGCTCAAGGCCAGGTTGGATGCAGCTTTGAGCAACCTGGTCTGGTAGGAGGTGTCTCTGCCCATGGCAGAGGGGTCGGACTAGATGATCTTTAAGGTCATTTCCAACCCAAAGCATTCTGTGATTCTGTGATTCTATGTCTTCCATAACAGTCATCTTGGAAAACCTCAAATCAAGGAAGACTTAGCCCTCCCAGTGCTGTTGCTGATGAACCAGGCTCTACAACC